AGGACAGTGAAAGAATCAACTAAAATTTACACTGGAAAATAAGACTTAAGCAATTTAACATTGGCAAAATAGACACACATTCATTTGGTACTTAACCTTAGCCAAAGAGGCCACTCCCTACTAAGATATTCTACCAGAAAGAGAAGGATGGGTTGTCAAGGTCAAAGATCCCAAATCAAGCCATTTCTTTAGACATTTTTTCCTACATTGTTTCATGAACTAAATTCCTCCATAGGAAGAACAGATTTGATTTAGTAGCATGACCAAGAATAAGTACTGAACAATTTACCAGATGGGAAAAGGAGGCCACAAGCAAAGCCAGCAGTGCAGGCAACCAAGTTGGTAGCCTCCCAAGGCAACCAGAGACAGGCCAAGAGCCAGGGACAGAGGGGCATCAACCATTATGATAGAGAGGTGCTTAGACTAAGTCTCAAGACCCCACATTAAGGGGTTCTAAGATCCCTATCACTTTGTCGTAAGATGCTTTAGAGGGCCTAGAAGACGCAGTGCTCTGAATCTATAATATCCTGGCAGGCCTAACGCCAGGAAGTTGAGGTCAGCACAAGAACCCAGGTGATGCAGGGTAGGACCAAGTAAGACTAACTACTCAACCCGAAAGTGGAGCTTGGCCTTGGCACAAAGCCTAAGATCAGGAATTAAAGCTAAAGAGATGAGTAAACCAGGGAAGACATAGACCAGCATAAAAAACTATTGTAGATACAGAGATTCCCCCTACCACACCCAAAAAAGGGGGAGAATAACTCTATAACAACTGCAAGCAGAGACCTAAAAGAAAAAGAACGGATTTTCCACAAGGACTATATGAATACTTGGAATGAAGCAAGAGATAAAAAATAAAATTTTGAAATATAAACTTAAGAGAAACCTAGCTGGGTAAATTTATTTGAACAATTAGAAGTTGTATGATGTAGTGCTAACATTCTAATAGAGAGAAAAGAAATTAATTTCTTCAGAATACGAATGTCTTCAAAGGATAATGGGGGAATTAAGAAATGGAGGTCCTAGGGTATTGGTTTGATTCTGAGAAGGCAAAAGAAGACAGTAAAAGGAGGAATACAGTAGCAAAGAAAGAAGGGAGGGGGATCTGGTAATTTCTCATAAATGTCAAGTGTGAGAAAGACATACAAACATGGAGGAAGGAGTGAGAGGAATGAGCATCAGATGGACCTCTTATCTGAAATGGACAAAGAGGGCTGAACATATACACACAGTTGGTGTAGAAATACATCAATGTCAACAGGGAAACGAGGAGGGGTGGGAGTTGAGGTAAGGCAGCTAAGAAAGAAGCAAAAATGATTAAGCACCTACTATGTGGCAGACATTGTGCTAAGTGTTTTTACAATTATTATCTCATTTGCTCCTCACAACAACCCTGGGAGGTAGGTGCTATTACCCCCATTTTGCAGTTAAGGAAACTGAGGCAAACAGTGGTTAAGTGACTTGCCCAGGATCACATACTAGTGAGTGTCTGAGATTAGATTTGAACTCAAGTCTTCCTAACTCCAGGGCCAGTACTCTACTCACTGTACTCCCTAACTGCCTCTAAGAGGGAGGGATATAGTTACAAACAAAACAAATTTCAAAATTCTGAGATTAAAAGAGAGGGAAAAAAAGAATAGCAATTGTAATTTTAGGTCAGGGCTGGGGGAAGGGGGAGAGTAGGGTGGGATGGGGGTTGGATTCCTTAAATTGTATTTTAAGACAATTGGGGAATGGCTGAACAAATTATGGTAGGAAGGAAACAAACATTCCATGAGTACCAACTATGTGCCAGGCACTATACTAAGCACTTTACAAATATTATCCCATTGGATCCTCATGACAACCTTTATGAAGTAGGTGTTATCATCCCTATTTTATAGTTGAAGAAACTGAGGCAGAGGATGATTTACCCAGGGTCACACAGATAATATATGAGGTTGGATTTGAACTCAAGAATTCCCAACTCCCACTCCAGGGCTCTATCCACTGTGCCCCTAGCTGTCTCCTGGTATATGAATGCAATGGAATGCTATTATGCCATAAGCAATGACCAAAGAGACAATTTCAACAATTTGTGGGTAATTATAAACTGATGCAGAGTGAAATGAGCAGAACCCAAACAATTTACACAAGGACAGAAACACTGTAAATAAAGGCAACTTTGAAAGATGAATGGGGATGGACAAAAGGTATAGCGATATACATTTTTGGTCATGGCTACTGTGTGGATTCATTTTGCTTGACTGTCCTTTGTCACAAAGGTTGTTTTCCCCACCTTTCCCTTGGCTTTTAATTGGGTTGAGGGTTAGCAATAGCAATGGCAGAGAAAAAGAAGGGGAGGGAGAGGGAGAGAGAGATTAATTTTTTTTTAACTTTAAGGAAGACAACAGATGTTGAACAGAGGTTCAGAAGGAAGTTACAAACAGGAGTGGTTTTATACCATATATATAAAAATTAAAACTTACTTTCTTTGCTTCCCACGTTCCTTTTCCCTAATGAAAAAACAAAACCAAATAAAACTCTTCTAACAAATATGTGTAGTCAAATAAAACAAATTCCCATGTTGGACATGTCCAAAAATCTTGCTCTCATTGAGCATCTAAGTAGGACGGTTTTAAAAGTAACACGTAGAATTTATTATATGCTTAACAAAAAAAAAGCATTCAGTACAGAGATTCACTGTTTCATATAGAATCTTCTTTTTGTGTTCTGTTGTGTATACAGAAATGCTCTTTTTTTGGTATTTAAGTTCAGAATAAAAATGTAATTATTTTTTAAAAAATTCACCAGATGGCAGCTAAATTTATCTAAGGAGGTAATTTATATTTGCTTTTTACAACAGCAGAGCAATAACTTTACATGTCAAAGTAGTTCACAGGATCATAGGATTTAGAGCTGGAAGGAGCCTCAGAAATCGTGGAAACCAAACCCTTCAATTTATAGATGAGGAAACTGAGGCCCAGAGAAGTTAAGAGGTTAAAGTCCATCAGTACACAAGTACTAAGTGGCAGAGCTGGGACTTTAAACCCAGATCTTCCGTTTGCAAATCCAGTGTTCTTCTCATGATACCAATTGATCAAGGTATGAGGAAGGGGAGAAAAAGGGTTTCATTAGGGAATACTGAAATAGCTGTATGCAAATGTAAATTTTATCAGTAAAGAGAAAGCAAATGTGAGAAAATATATGCATTTGGACAAGAAATTGAATTTACCTTGTTTAATAACACCTTCAAGGTCAAGCTACCTTTTTAGTACCTAATCTCTCTCTATAAACATATTTATATGTACACATTCTTGAATTATTTCTAGTTCAAACAGATATAAAAATTCTGACTTTTTCAATAATTATATCTATATAATAGAGTTGTCAGTTATTGTTCCAAATATCAACCATGGTGGTATGTAAGATTTTATTAGGGCCTGGGCAAAATTGCAAAGTTGGCAAAAACTGTGAACCCTGTCCTGCCTCTTTGCCTCTCATGGATTATGCCTCCATGCTGCCTTTTGGCTGACCAAAACCTAGTGTCCCAACACAATAAATGAAAAAGTATTAATGAAGCACTTACTATATTCCGAGCACTGTGCTAAATCCTGGGGATACATATAGAAAAATCAAGACAGTCCCTTTTTTCATGGGCTCACATTCTTAATTGGGCGAGATAACACATTAAAAGAAAGTCCAACTGCAGGGTTGATGTCAAGGGCAAGAGGTCCTAAGGGGCAGTGATGGATAACAAGTCCCAGAGGTTCTTGGGTTACATCGTTGAGTTGGATGGCAGTGGAGGTTGAGGGAGGAGTGTGTAGGGTGTAGGGGTGGTGGTGGCGGCAAATGGTGGGGTCTGGTGGTCCTCTATGGACCGGAAGGAATACTGTTAGCATTCCCGTCTCATCCAAGCTGTGTGAGTGGTCAAGCAGCTTAGATGGGTTGTGGGCAGCCTAGGCAGGGGAGGCAGAGGGATGGTGGATCTTCAATTCAACAAACATTAAGTACCTATCACAGTGGAAGGCACTGGGGATAAGAAAGAGAGAAACCTAATGGGCCCCACCTATACCTGTGCTACCTACAAAATGGTCCATGAACTAAAATTATCCTTATCCCTTTCTCTTTCAGCAAAAATTTCCATTCCAAAGCCACCCACTCACTCACTCACCCACCCACAGAAAAATGAGACATTTCTACAAAGTTACTGATTTTTGCTTTAAATCAACTATTTATACCACATCCCTAAACCATAGGCCCCAAAGCAGCAACATTCCTGGATTTTACACCAATGAAAATTGAAATCAATATTGAGATAGCCAGAGGGGTAAATTAAGGGGATGTCACCATGAATTCTTGGCAAAACTTAAGAAGCTGAGCTTTAAGCAAAGTGTTTGTTATCTATACATCAGTATGGCAGTATAAACATTTCCTAATACCTAAAGCAGTAACAGGTTCCCACTGAGATCCTGTCAGAAACTTTCAGAGCTGGGGACAGATATGATAGAACACTTTTATGAGTGTTTTAACTTTTACAAAGCACTTCCTCACAAAAATCACGTGAAGTAGGTAGTGTTGGCATTATTACTCCTATTTTATAGATGAGAAAACTGAGAGAGAATAAGTCCCTTACATGTCAAAGCCAGTACTCAATCAAGGTCTGTTGACTTCAAGACCAATGTTTTCCATGTTGACTTTCAATTTATAGATGTATAATTTGTAATGATCCAAGTACCAATTACCTTCACAGCTATGACATAGATTTTCTTACCCAGTAAAGGCAAATTAAAACTTCTGAGGCACAGAAGTACCAATGCAATTTTATTTTTTACAAAACAAACAATGATCGTTAGTAAAAGGGACAGGAAAACCTCAGGTGAAGGTCAGGTCAAAGGTATCCATATGCAGTTTTGGAACAAAGAAGCTCTTTAAAAAAGTTCTAAAAAAAAAAGGCCCATACTGGTGACATCATTGTATCCAAAATATCAGATAGTTAGGAGTACATTTCTATGAAAAAAAAAAAAAAAAAGAATAAAGGTCCAAAGTGTTACCAGTGCAGCAGAATGTGCCCTAAAGTAAATCATATTACAGTTCATGTCTTTCACAGCAAAGTCAACCTTTATCTCTAAGGAGAAGAATAGGAGAGACGTAGTGACTGTCCACCAGGTTGGGAAAGCAAAGCCCCTGAGCTGATCAATTTTCCCATTTTCCATAAAGCTTTGTTCAGGTGACTTTGAAAAGAGTCATCAAACACCTTACTTGTTTCTTCTTTAAGCTCTCTCAGAACAGCTATGGTGGACTCACCACTGGCATTTAGAATCCGCCCAAAGAACTTGCTCCACAAATCAACATCTCTTAGCCTGAAAACACACAAAGCCATTTTCAGTTAGGGTCAGATATAGGACAGAGTTCAATCAAGATTCTTTTTGTGTTTAGCCAACAGAACTTTTCTGCACTAAGATGTAAGAGAATATATACATCAACAGGGTTGGATGTCAAAAATGGGTGGGGGAGGAGGAAGAAACAAAATAGAGCTTTGTCAAGCTGCTAGAATTATCTTTTGCTATAACAGGCCCATGCACAGAGAATAACTAAAATAGCCCACTGAAAGCCCATATCTCCACAGCATACATAGACTGGAAGAAAACACAGGAAGAAAGAGCCATAATGTACATAGAGAGAAAGAAATCCTTCCATCTGAGTCTATAACCCCCTCTTCTGGTCACTGAGATGGGATCTATGTTATACTTTGGATACATCATGTAAGATGTAAGGCCAAATGTAAGAAAATGAACTTTGTTTCCTCTTTTTTCAAGCCCCTCTTTCTTTTGAAAGAGTACTGAAAGCTGCTTTTATTTTACCATCTCTAGATCCTAACTTTGGCAGAAACAGAGGGACTATCACAATGACCTATCTTCCATCCTAGTGTTGTATAAAATTGGGTTGTCAGAAGACTCAGACTGGCCCCACTTGTCTCCAATTGTGTTAGCTGTGTCAACAATCAACATGAGAATCAGGAATCTCAAAGATAGAAAAGATTTTTAGAAGTCACCTAATCATTTTACAAATAAGGAAACTGAGGTCAAGAGACTTGTTCAAAATTATTCAGCTAACTAGCTAGCAAAGAAAGAACTAGAATCCATAGCTGACAGACCAACCTCAAATATCTTAACTAAAAGAAAAGGAATCATGATTAACCTTAAAGCAAGAGGACTCTAAAGGGTTTGAGAATGCAATACCAGCCAATTATAAAATAACTTATATCAACACAGGCCAATTACAAATAATTATTTTCATTAAATGCTTTCATTTAAATCTTTAGAAATTTAAATTCAACAAACATTTATTGTCTACTAAGTACAAGACACTTTGCCAGGTATTGGGAATACAAAGATAAAAACAGTTCCTACCCTCAAAGAGCTTACATTCTACTGGACTATGCAACAAGTAAACAAATATATATACAACTAGAGAAGGATCAGGGAAAAACTTCCCTACAAAGTGACATCCAAGCTCCATCTTGAAGGAAGCCAGAAGCTTCCAGCAGGTGAGAAGGGAATGCATTCAATGTATAGGAGACAACTTTTGCCAAGGTGTTGAGGCAGAAAATAGATTGCTGAGTTAGGGGAAACAGAAATTAGGCATGCTTGACTGGAAAAATAGTACATGAAGGGGAAAAATCTGAATAAATCTGGAAACATAGACTAGAGTCAAAAAGGCAATAGGAGATCACAGAAGAATCTTGGGCAGTGGAGTCATGTGCCTTAGGAAGACAGTTTTGTGAGCTGTGTGAAGGATGAGTTGGAGAGGAGAGAAAGTGGAAGCTAGGAGACGAGATAGGAGACCATTGGAATAGTTCAGGTGAGAGGTGAGGTGATGAGAGTCTACATAAGTGGAGAAAAGGAGATAGATATATGAGATACTGTTTAGGGAGAACAAGAAACCGCAACTGACTGGATATTTGCAGTGAAGAAGAGGGAAGAATCAAAGTATAAAGATTCAAGTCTAGGTGACTGGGAGGCTAGTGATGGCCTCAGCAGAAAGAAGGAAAGAAGGCTAAGTTGAGGAGGGAGAAGATAATCAGTTCCAATTTGGACATGCTGAGGCTGAGATGACTATGGGACACCTACGTGGAAATATTAGTAAGACTGGAACTCAGGAGAGAAATAAGGTCTGAATACATAGATTTGGGAGTCATCTGCATGGAAACGATAGTTAACCCATGAGAACTGAGAAGAACATCAGAAGACGGTAGAGAGAAAAGACAGAGTTTGAGGTGGGAGGAGAAAGTTTAGGGGAAAGGCAGTCATTCTTAGGAGGCAGGAGATGATTCAATAAAGATTTAAAAAAAAAAGGGGGGGTGGTCAGATATAAGAATGAGGAAAAGCCAGGATCATAGAAGCTGAGGGAGGAGAAAGTGTACAGGAGGGGCAAGTGGTCCAATGTCAAAAGCTAGAGAGAGAGAGAGAGAGACAGACAGACAGACAGACAGACAGACAGACAGACAGACAGAGATGAGAATTAAGAAAAGACCAGAGGCATTTTAGTTGAGTGATAGGGTACAAAGCTAGACTGGCAAAGGCTTGGGAAGCAAGCCAGAGATGACTTTTTTTATTTTTAAAGGAATTGAGCTTTCCAAGTCCTTCTTTCATGCCTCATGACAATAAAAAGGTGACTATAGGTCCCTTGAAGCTTTGCCAGCAGAGCATCCTGGAAAAGCTTCAAGTACAATACTGGCAACAAGCAGTGTCTGCTTTCCCAGGCCCAATTTAGCTAAGTATACAAAAGTTCATCACTCATAAAACCAAGAAATATACAAAATGATCCTCAGTCTTGTATGGCCTGCCCCCTTCCACTTCTGCAATGATGGCTGAAGAATGGAAGGAAAAGGGGGCAGACGACACCATATCATTTTCTCAAGTCTCTCAGTTCTGAGTCAACAAGAAAAATCCTCTATGTCTTCTGCCCTTTGTAGCTCCTTAAAAGGCCATCTATAATAGGCGCCTCCACCTTCTCTCTTCTTAATACCGTATAATCAGGCTTCTTATCTTATCATGCCACCAAAACTACTCTCTCCAAAGTTATCAGTGATCTTGCCAAATCCAAACGCCTTTTCTCAATCTTTATTTTCCTAGATCTCCCTCAGCCTTTGACACTGCTGATTACTCTTTCTCCTCCTTGATACTTTCTTCTCTTTAGTTTTTTTTGGGACACTCTGTCCTGGTTCTCCCCCTACCTAAATGCTCCTTCTGTCTCCTTTGCTGGATGCTCATCCAGACCATGTTCTCCAACCACAGGTGTTCCCCAGGATTTCTGTCCTGGGTCCTCTTCTCTTCTCCCTCTATACTGTTTCACTTGATAAATCTCATCAGCTTCCATGGATTTAATTACCATCTCTATGCTGACCCCTCTTTAATCTACCTATTTTACCCTTACCTCTCTGCTGATCTCCAGTACGACATCTCCACCTGCCTTTGGGACGTCTCACACTGGATGTCCAGTAAACACATCTTCAACTCAACATGTGCAAAACTGAGCTCATGCTCTTTCTCCCTAAATCCTCCCTGCCTCCTAACTTCTCTATTACTGTTGAGGACAATACCCCACCCCCTCAAATCCCTCAAGCTTGCAACCTAGGTGTCATCTTTGACTCTACCCTATCTCTCACCCCATATATCCAATCAGTTGCCAATGCTAGTCAATTTCACCTTTGTAACATATCTCTCAAAGAAATATGCCTCCCTTCTCTCCTCTGATTCTGCCATTACCCCAGTACAGGCACTTATCACTTCATGCCTGGACTACTGCAATAGTGGGCTGATGGCTCTGCCTGCCTCAAGTCTCGCTCCACTCCAATCCCACATCCATTCAGCCACTAAAATAATTTTCCTAAAGTATAGGTCTGACCATGTCACTACTCAATATTAACTCAAGTGGTTTTCTATTACTTCCAGGATCAAATATGAAATGCTCTGTTTGGCATTCAAAGCCCTCCATAACCTCCTACCTTTCCAATCTTCTTACACCTTAATCCCCCACCACATACATTTTGATCCAGTAACAATGGCCTCCTTGCTGTTCCATGAACAAGACACTCCCATGTCTCAACTGTGGGCATTTTCTCTAACCACTGTGCCTAGCCCAGAGTAATAATAATTAATAGTAATAACTTAATAAATATTTCTGACTGTCTGCCTGCTGTACTTTATATACTGAAATGCTCATATTTGTTACATGTTTTTTTCACATATTATATAATCCTTATAACAATCCTATGAGGTACGTAGTAGAGTATTATGTTTGTTTTAAAAGAGAAGACCAGGTTCAAAGAGGTTAGGTAACTTGCCTGAGATCATATATCCAAGGGAGTGAAAGAGCTGGTTCAGAAAGAGAGACAAGTTTATTTGCTAATACTTACTTGGAAAAGCTCTGGAGGAGTTTCCAGTGGGAACCATCCCAGGTAACTTGTAAGTGTTCCTTAAACAACAGTAAATGTGCTAAATCGGCAATACCAATCAAGTCGACCTGAAATTACCAAAAAGATCTATCAGCTAAAATAATTCCCCATTAATTACCATGGTATCGAATTAAAGGAAAGGTCTGAAGACTAATATTAGAGTGCTTAAGTCCATTTCATGATCACTATTTCAATAGTCTAAGGCAAGGATGGGGAACCTATGGCTTTGAGGCCTGGTCTAACGCGAGTGTCCCCTCTCCTCCCCCATGACCTTATATTTAATTACTTTAACTTTATATTTAAGCTATTTTTTAAACAATAGGTACTTGTCTCTCTCTTGGAACATAAGTTCCTTGAAAGTAAAGATTGTCCCATTCTTTGTCCCTGTATTGCCAGTGCTCTGCATAGTGCTTGGTACGTAGTAAGTACTTAAGAAATACTTGATTAACCTTTCCACAGAGCTGACCAGCAGAAACAACTCCAGGAACTGGCCTTAAAAACAAGGACAAAACAACAACAACAACAAAAAAAAAACCCAACAAGGACAAATACTTAAACTGCCAAACCCAGAGTTTCATATTCCAGATAATTTATATGTATGCAAGCTGTCATCTAGAAGCAGCACACACCATTCCTAGGGTACAAGTTAGTCCATTAATTATGAACACCCAGGGCAAAGCTAGCATAAACTTTAGTATAACCGTAATAATGTCTTAATTTCTATATCACTTTATTCTTATTATCCTATTTCCAATATACTTTCACATACTCACTAGGGTCCCTCAAAGCAATCCTCTGAGGTAAGAACAAAGATTACTTTCATTTTATAGGAAAGGAAATGAAGGTTCAGAAGCTGTGACTTGACCATGGTCACATGACTATTAATTGGCATCTGAGAGAGGAACTCACTCTAATGTGTGTGCAAGTGTGTGTTGTTGGGGAGAGGGATGGGAAGGTAGGAAAGGAGTCTGTAGAGTTGTATCCCTTAGTGAAATAATGACACAGCATGGAATATTTTACTTTACGTTAGAAGATTTACCAAAAAAGTTAAATAAGAGGACGGGGATAAATACTATACTAGGTCATCTAGCTTTTACAGCATGCTCAAAAGAGGAAGGACCTAAGAAGCTGTCACTATCTTTGTCCATGATTGTTTTATACACTTACTTGGTAGGGAGAAACACAGTTAGCAATGATTTTTTGTCCTTCTAGGATCTGGACAGTCCGAAAGCCACGTAGGGTAGGAACATCTGGCTGTGCCTTCAGGTCTACACTGTAGGAGAAGTCCACTATCTTCAAAGCCTGGTCATTTTCATTACAGACACAGGCATCACTAATCCTGAGCACAGATTTCAAAAGGAAGAAAAATTGATAAGTTATAGCATCGCCAAGTTGCCTTGGGGAAAAAACACAGAATAGAACAAAACAAAACCTATATTGCAGTTACTTAGCCATGCCTATGGCCCCCTCCAATGGTTAGTTCAGAAAACGCATCTTCAAGAGTACTCCAATGAAGGGCGAAATGTTACTTGGATGAAGAGGACACTAGGGAAACCATTTCAAAAGGCACATTTAGACCATTTCATAGTTATTTGGAAACATTTGTACTGAGCTGCTACAGTACACCAGGCAATGTGGACAGTATGTGGACCTTAGCTCTTCACTAGACTTTAACATGCATGACAACAAATAGGACATACTGATTAAAAGTTGTGATGAAGGAAGAAATGAAAATATGGATCAGCAATCAGATCGTGTTTTTTAAGAATTGTTCACATTCTTCCTTCTTGAAATTACCCAAAAACAATCGAAAGATGTTTTTCACAACGCTGAGTAGATGGAATAAAAGTTTCAGATGCTCACATTGTGAAACTTCCTGGATTTTCTATTAATTTGACACTATATATCCTACTTTGTCGTCAAGTGAAGAACTTAACACATTTTCCTAGAAATAAAGATTTATTATAATGACTCCCCAACACTCAACTAATTAATAATTATTTCCTTGGAACTTATCTATCTTAGGGTATGAAGATGCTCTCTAAATAGAGAAGCTTTCACGAAAACTCAAAAGTAGCTATTAACCCAATAGAAACAAATGACCTACACCCATGTTTCACCTCCAATTTGCTTTCTTCTCTTTACACAGCTAAGAAACACTGTACTCTCAAATAATTTACTTTTGTAACCAATCCAATTGCGTATTTCATTTTACTTAAACCAGGACAGGCTCTCTCACTTTAAAGCTAATAATTGCAGATGGTTTTCTTTGGCATAGTACTTCAAAAATTTTTTTTATTATTAGAATGGAATTCCCAAACACTTTTGAAATTGAAAAAGGGCTAGGGAAAAGACTTTATGTGGTTAATTAAATTTCCTTATAGTGATTCATATAGCTGTATATTTTACTGATGCCCCCTGGTGGCTTGGGGAAGAATTTCCTTTATCTGGCTAAGTTCAAATGCCACATACATACACAAGGAGAGCTGTAAAAAGCTGCAATTGTCATTACAGCTTTGCATTGCAGTCCTGGATGACTTGTAGCGCCATCTAGGATAAGCAGACACTGCCTACTTCATACTAGGGTTTTACTCTCTAGAGTAAAATGTTAGGGGTTCTTTAGTAATCCAGCTTATAGATACAAGCACATAACTGAAGGTTCTTCTAGCCCCCTTTTCCCTCTATGGTTACAATCATCTAGTCCAACCTCCATTAAGAAATTCAAGACCACCAAAATCAACATCCTTCCCATAGATTAGGGTTCTACTGATTGCTAGATAGTGATGTGCCTTATTTATGTGGGGATAAGACCATATTTCTTTGTTGTTTCTCTTTTTTGATGGGAGACTCAAAATATTAACCTCAGACAGAAAAATAAAACAAAAAAAAACTTATAGGTGGTCCCAAATAGAGAGACTCCTCTCTAAATTTCTTTTTCTTAGTTATTCCTAATCATCACTGATACTTAAGAAATAGAAATTCTATTTTTAAATGCATTCATGTTCATCAAAAGACATGAGAAAGTAGCAAGAATTCCAAGTCTGAAGGCAGAGCAGAAAGGAAACACAATTAAGAACAATGCCCAACCTGTTTCCCAGTATCAGACTCCTAGGACCCAAATCTCCATGGACTATTTCTGCTCTGTGCAGCTTCTCCACTAATGCCAAGAGATTGTGAATAAGCAAAATTGCTACTTCAGGGTCAATGGATTCACTGTGCTGGAGAAGATCCTGGAAACAGAAGACAAACAGAAAACTAATGGAAACATGCCATAAGCACCCTTATTTCAGATAGCTCACACCATGCAGAACTTAAGAGGACACCATATCAATGTTTCTAGTAAGTTCAGGATTTGAACAAAACTTTAGTTTCCAGGACATCCATCCATCAACCTCTACCTTTCATCTTTCCTCAGCTCCTTCTCTTATCTACAAACACTCAAGTTTTCCCACTCAAAAGAACCTCTGCTAAGTCCTTTCCCCACTCAGCATCAAGTTCCTTTTTTAACCCCCTGCAATCTGATTTCAATTCCAATAACTCTATGAAGCTAATTTCTTGAGGGATCAGGATTTCCTAATGACCAAATCCAATGGTGTTTTCTTGGTATTTCTTTTCAGTCCCTCTGAAACATTTGAACCTAATTCCTCTTGAAATACTTTGCTCACTTGATTCTTGTGACACTTAACTATACTGGTTCTTTCTTTCTGTCTGATCCTCTCTTCTCCCATCATCTATATGTGTGCCTTCTCCAAGGTTCTATCTTCAGTCTTCTCTCTTTTCATAACTCTTCTTTGAAATCTCATCTACTCCTATTGGCTTCAACAGTCACCTCCCTGTGGATAACTTCTAACATTACAGCTCTAGCTCCAACCTTTCTCCCAAAATCCAGCTGCATTTCCAACTACCTGCTGAACAGTTTATCAAGTCCCATTGGTACTTCAAACGCATGCTCAAAACCAAACTTAATACCCCCACTTCACCTTTTGCCCTCCTGAAATCACCATCTCCTCTTGAGTGTCTTATTTTTCTTATAACCATTTCCCCAGAAACCAAAGTTCAAATCCTCAGTCATTCACTTTTCCTTCCCATCACTCTCCACATAAAACTAGTTGCCAAGTCCTACTATGTCTACCCTGGTTGTCAGTCCTACCTTTACCCTCTTTACCATTCCTACTTCCATCATTCTGAGTCAGAAATTCATTTTTTGCCTGAACTATTACAATAGCCTAAGTAGTTTCTCTGTTCCAATCTCTACCCTTTCTGATCCATGCTAAACAACACTGTCAGATTAATATTTCTAAGGTAAACTTTGATCATCTTTTCTCTGTTCAGAACTTCAGAGATTTCACCATTGTACAAAGAATAAATTCCAACTCCTCATTTTGGCATTCAAAGCTCTCTAAAATACGATCCTAACCTATCTTTCTAGTTTTATCTTGCATTACTCCCCTATAAGTATTCTATGGCAAACTGGAGAACAGTAAAGGAGCAGTGTTGTATAATGGGAAAAAAATTGAACCTGAAGTCCATAGACATGGATATAAATCCCAGTTGTGCTGCTCACTACCTGTATAGTCTTATACAAGTTATTTAACTTAATTTCCCTGAGTATAAAATGAGGAAGTTGGAATGGATAATCTCTAACATCTTTTCCAATTTTGAATCTTATGGTTTTAAGAATCACTCAATGCCAAATATACTCCAAGAACTTTGACTTGTGCTGTTTTCTCAACCCTGAATGTTATTCCACAACCCCATTGGGCTGCTAAGATCCTGTCCCATTCTTGTGGCCTAGCATTAATATCAATTCTCCTTGATCCACCATCTCCATAATTCACTCTCTCAACCCCATCTTTTTTAGGACTCTCATAATTCCTACTTGACACAGGAAGTTATCCCTCCATACTAGACTGTAAACTCCAGAGGAACACTACTCATCTCTGAATCCTCTGCAGCACCTAGTCCAGTAGTTATATACATAACAGGTGCTAAACAAGGATTAGTTGAACTGAATGAAACCTTCATCCCAGTCATTTCAGTCACTGATATGCTTTTCTGATGAATGAATAAGCCAAATAGAGAAGAAGCTGACCCAATGCTAGACATCCAAGAACCATTATTAAAACCTCTGCATGTCATATTTCACTACTTGAGAAATACAGTCATGTTACACTTTCAAAGAAAGTATTTCAACAAACCCAAAGCGTGAAACAGTTTATATTCTGGTGCAAAATAATACAGCCATCTTGGTATAGATAACAGCTGCAGTCATTACTGAAATTGTATTCAAACTCTTCATTCAGACGCTCTCTTAACTTGAGGATGATATAATAATCCCACGGTACAGGCTGAGAATACACCTGAAAATGATTATTTAAAAATAAAAACACTAGTTGTATTAATTAAATTAAATTCATCATTCCTGACCCTTCCCTTCTTCCCCTTTCCCTACAGAGGTGGTGATTAGGGGTGGAGAACACTTCAGATAATGTCAAACTTTTCCCAATATTGGTTAGTTTTGATGAAGTTCTCCCCCCTCTTTTTTATTCTATTATAAGGCATTGCTCTTTAGAAGCTACTACTTTTGGGAGGATGAAGAGCTATAAAAACAAAAGACATCAACTACATTTACTTGAAATATAAACAAATCAGTCTGTCTTAATGGATTCAATTACAAGAGGGCTGTGACCCAGAAATCTCAAGCTCTATAAACAGCTGCAACAAAGATGTGGCCTTGGCTAAGTCACCTCCATGACAATTCCAATTTTAAAATGGATTAAATTTTGCTAATTCATTTGGAAAGGCAGACTAAAAAGCTGCTCAAGTGAAGTCTTTTAAAATTCTAATGCTAACTATAAAAGCTTGGCATTTTATTCACCTAAGTTCTGTTCATATATAAAAATATATTATTTGAACCCCTCTTATGTCTATAAAGCTAAATAGGGGCAGCTCAGCAGCAAAATGTGGATAGAGTGCCAAACCTAGAGTCAGGAAGATCTGAATTCAAATCTGGCTCAGACACTCACTAGCTGTGTTACCCTGAGCAAGTCACTTAACCCTGTTTGCCTCAGTTTCCTCGTCTGTCAAATGAGCTAGAGAAGAAAATGGCGAACCACTCCAGTATCTTTGCCAAGAAAACCCCAAAAAGGAATCACGAAGAGTCAGACACAATTGAAAACAACTGAACAACAACAGAGTCACATATCTGTATGGATGAATTATAATTATTGGCATGGTCATCAAAACTCAGTGACCAAAGGGTGCAGGGGCAGAGTAGTAGCATCCTATAGCTATCTTTACCTCTTTGCCAACAACCCTAGTACTTCTGGGTGTGCTGGAGGTGGATGGAAGTGTAGAGGAAATACTCCCACAGCTTTTTTTTTCCTTGGTATGAAAAGAGAAAATTTTGTTTCCTTATAAATTGGTCTTTTATCCAATTTAGCCAGTGGTTGGATACTAAAAGGCATTTCCTCCTTCAGCATACCTATAACTGTAGTGAACCTCTTTTGAAATATGGATCTGAGCTAAATCCTTCCAAATTTTCTTCTTTGGACCAGGTAAAGATAGAATTCCTGTCTTGTTCTCTACTTCCTGGGCTAGTTACGGGAATTTTTTCTAGTTCAAGAGTCTCTGCCATTGCCAGTTCCAAAATCTGATTACTTGAAGCACAGAGGCCTACATTAGTCTGATGAATTTTGCTTGATGTCTACTTCGTATTACTTGCCTATACTTAGTTCCTGACTCCTACCCATGCATGAATCACTAATTTCTGTTATTTGAACTTGGCCTAAACTAGTGTTTGGTCCTCCCATACAGGGACTTTCAGGAAAGGGAATTGTGTAGATTTCTAGGGAACTTAAAAGTATCAAGTACCTATATGGTTAATGATGCTAGATAAATCTATCCACATAAAACTATTTAAGATGAAGCTGAGAATACAAACATTTTGTTCCTACCTTTATTGCAGTTAATTTTGCAGAGTCACCTGGAACTACCCAAAATATCCTGTAATCTTCACCAATTAGGTTTTCCTGTTTGATGCAGTAATCCTCATTACCTGTTAAGAATGTTTTTACTTTTGTGAATTATGAATTTTTGCTTTCATGAATTGCTACACTTAGCCTTAATGCCTGGCTTAAGAGCAAGAAATATTGCCATATTCATATCAAGTGGCATTTAGAATAACTTTTAAAATCATTTTTATAGTATTTTTCCCCAATTACAGGTCAACCCCCCGAAAAAATCATATTACCCAATTACATGTCAACACTTTTTAGTATTCATTTTTACAAGATTTTGAGTTCCAAATTTTTCTCCCTCCCTCCTCTCCCCTCTTCCTAAAATGGTAGGCAATTTGATATGTTATACATGTACCATCATGTAAAACATATTTCCATATCTGTCACAGTTGTGAAAGAAGAAACAGATCAGAAGGAAAAAAAGAATAAAGTAAGTGAAAAAAGTATGCTTAGATCTGTCTTCAGAGTCCATCAGTTCCTTATCTGGTTATGGACAACATTTTCCTTTGTGAGTCCTTTGTTACTGAATTGCTGAGAAGAGCTGCACTCATATTTCATCATCACACCATGTTGCTGATACTGTGTACAATGTTTGCTGGTTCTGCTCATTTCACTTTACATCAGTTAGTACAAGTCTTTCCAGGTTTTTCTGAAATCTGCCTTTTCATCATTTCTTATTGCACAATAGTATTCCACTACATTCTTACGCTATAGCTTGTTCAGCCATTCCCCAAATGATGGGCATCCCCTCAATTTTCAACATTTTGCACCATGAAAAGGGCTGCTATAAATCTTTTTACACATAGAGATTATTTTTCCTTTTTTATAATCTCTTTGGGATACAGACCTAAGTAATGGTCTAGATTGCTGGATCAAAGGGTATGCACAGTTTGGCTGCCCTTTGGGCATAGTTCCAAATTGCTCTCCAGAATGGCTCGATCAGTTCACAACTCTACCAACAGTGTATTAGTATTCCAATTTTCCCACATCCTCTCCAACATTTATCATTTTCTTTTTTGTCATATTAGCCAATCTGAAAGGTATGAGGTACTACCTCAGAGCTGTTTTAATTTGCATTTCTCTAATCAAAAGTGATTGAGAACAGTTCATATGCCTACTGATAGCTTAGATTTCTCTATCTGAAAACTGCCTATTCATATCCTTTGATCATTTATCAGCTGTGGAATGGTTTGTATTCTTATAAATTTGACTCAGTTCTCTATATATCAGGGACATTTGCTGTAAAGATTGTTTCCCAGCTTTCTGCTTTCCTTCTAATCTTGGTTACATTGGTATTGTTTGTGCAAAAGCTTTTTAATTTAATACAATCAAAATTATCTTACCTTTTGTAATGCTTTCTATCTCTTGCTTGGTCATGAACCTGTAACTCGCTTAACTTCTCCTTTAAGAATTTGGATGCTTTACCACTTGTTGCACATATGTTTAGTATTGATATTACTTCATTGTTTATGGTACCTTTTAGCAAGATGTAGTTTCTTCCTTTATCTCTTTTAGTTAGGTCTATTTTTGCTTTTACTTTGTCTAAGATCAGGATTGCTACCCCTGCCTTTTTTTTACTTTAGCCGAAGCATAACAGATTCTGCTCCAGCCCCTTACCTTTACTCTGTGTGTGTTTCTGTTTCAAGTGTGTTTCTTGTAAACAACATATTGTAGGATTCTGGTTTTTTCTCCCCTCTGCTTTTCACTTTCGTTTTATGGGAGAGTTCATCCCATGCACATTCAGTTATGATCACTAATGGTGTATTTCCCTCCATCCTATTTATCCTCCTTTTTATCCTCTCTCTCTCTTTTCACCTTTTTCCTCCTCAGTGTTTTGCTTCTGTCTCCCACCTCCCCCAGTCTGCCCTCTCTTCTGTCCTGTCAGTCCACCCCTCCTCCCCCACACTAACTGTGTACATTATTCCCTCTTTGAGCCAATACTGATGAAAGTAAAGTTCAAGGGAGGCCCATTGCCCACCCTCCTATCTTTCCCTCCGCTGTAATAGGTTTTTGGTCTCTTCATGTGAAGTAACTTATCCCATTCTACCTCTCCCTTCTGCACCTAGTGGTACTTCTCTTTCTCATCTCTTAAATTTTTTTTATGCCATTCATTCAAATTCACCTTATACCCATGCCCTCTATGTATACTTCTTCTAGCTACTTCTAGTATTATTAGTGGTACAATTTTTAAGAATTACAAGTATCATCTTCCCATGTAAGGATGTGAACGTTTTCTTTTCCCTTTTTAGCCTTCTCGAGTCTTGATGTTGAAGAGCAAAATTTTTGTTCAATTCTGGTCTTCTCCTTATGAAAGCTTGAAATCCTTCTATTTCATTGAACGATCATTTTTCCCCCATGATAGATTATACTTAATTTCACCAGGTAGGTGATTCTTGGTTGTAGTCCTAGCTTCTCTGCCTTTTGGAATATCATGTTCCACGATCTGATCCTTTAATGTTGCAGCTGCTAAGTTCTGTGTAAGTCTGATTGTGGCTCCCTGATATTTGAAATGTTTTTTTTTCCACTTGCAATATTTTTTCCTTGACCTGATAGTTCTGTAATTTGGCTATAATGTTCCTTGGAGTTTTTATTTTGGGATCTCTTCCCTAAGGTGATCAGTGGATTCTTTCAATGTCTATTGAACCTCTGGTTCTAGGCTATCAGGGCAGTTTTTCTTGATAATTTCTTGAAAGATGCTGTCCAGGTCCTCCTTTTGATTATGGCTTTCAGGTAGTCCCGTGATTCTGATATTATCTCTCCTGGATCTATTTTCCAGGTCAGTTCTTTTTCCAATTAGGTATTTTACATTTTCTTCTATTTTTTCATTCTTTTAAATTTGTTTGATTCTTGATTCTTACACAGTCATTAGTTTTCACTTGCCCAATTCTAACTTTTAAGCAGTTTTTTCCTCAGTCAGCTTTTGTACTTCCTTTTCCATTTGGCCAACTGTACTTTTTAAACAGTTTTCTTTTTCCAAGCTGTTGACTCTTTTGAGCTCTTCCATGAGCTCTTTCTGGGCTTGAGATTACTTACCATTTTTCTTTGGGGTTTTGCCCGCAGGCAGTGTTGTCCTCTTCTGAATTTGTGTCTTGATCTTCTCTGTCACCATAACTTGCTCTCAGGGTGGAAGGATTTCTCAGGTTTCTTGTGGGAAGGGTTACAGGCCCTGGCTGTTTATCTGGTGCTGCACTGATGTTGCCCTGAGGCCCACAGGGGACCCTCACATCTGGTGCTGTGCTGAGGGGGTAGGGTGGGGAGTGGTTGGAACCGCTGGAGGCCATAGGGTTCTGGCAGCTTACCTGGTGCTGAACTGGGGGTCCTAGTGCTGGTGTTCGGCATGTGCTGAGAGGGTGGTGGGGTGTTTCTGCATTTCTCTGGGGATACACTGAAGCACATGGCAGTTCTTGGAGCTGCTGTATGCCTATTCGCTAGCTATGCTGAGGTAGGTAGGGAGTCCTAGTGTTAGCATTTGCCTGCTGCATTTCACTGGGGCTCAAGATCTCCCACTGGTTTGCTTAAGTGGGGCTTGTGGCTGGCTTGCTGGGATACTTCCTGTCCTGGACTGCATTCTTCCTTTACCCATGTGAGACAGACCTTTCTTGTCTCTCTCTCCTTTTTTTTTTTGGCTAGGCAATGGGGTTAAGTGACTTGCCCAGAGTCACACAGCTAGTGCACATTATGTGTCTAAGGCCAAATTTGAACTCAGGTCCTCCTGACTCCAGGGCCAGTGCTCTATCCACTGTGTCACCTAGCTGCCCCGATCTTTTTGGTCTCTCTCTCTTTTTTTTTTTTGGAGACAGAACTTTCTTGCCGATCTTCCAAGTTTCTTGGGCTAAAAGGTTGCTTTTGCTTTCTTTTTTTTCCCCCATCTTTTTGCTGATTCTGCTGTTCCAGGATTTGTTTCAGGGTGCTATTTTATGTTTGTGTGAAGATGAATATAGGAGAGTTATGGCGATTTACTGCTTACTCTGCCATGTTGGCTCCAGAAGTCCAAGAGACACAGTTTCTGGTTAATTCATCAAAATAATTTGTTTTAATTAAAAAAAAAAAAAGCTCATTGGATAAATGAGTTATTGTTGCTGACTAAGCCCTAGTTCACCAATACTTTTATTTCTACAAAAGTTTTTTTTCCTGCCCAGAGACTTTTAAGATAATTTGCAACAGCATCTAAGTGTTTAGGTACCTAACCATCTACAAGTGTTAAAAAGGGATATATGCTTTTAATGGCACTTACCTAACTCAATCTCTTTTTCCACTTCTAATTCAGGCATGGGTCTCTCTTCTAAATAGAATTCTGGAGAGGCCCTTAACTCTGGCAGTGAGTCTAGCAGTTGCCTACGCTGCTGTAAGCACCAGGGTGAGAGAGAAGAATTATCTGCAGGGGCAGAAGTAAAAGTGTTACCCAATAAATCTGAACTTAAAAGAGAAATTTCAAATGAAGAAAGAACATAGAGTATGTGACCAATACCTACTAACCAAAGTCATTTTCAAGATTAAATTACGGCCATTCTATACACTTTAGATGTTTCAGGGTTCATGGCCATTTCTCCAAAACATATGCCAGAACTCACTGAGACAGGTAAGTTTTTACTAGGCCCAAGAATCACTTACCCAAAGAATGAATGATGCTCTCATCATTAGTAAGTTCCAGTTTCTCAGGGATCTGAAGGTATTTAGTTGAGGAAATACTTGTAATTGAGGAGGCAGAAGAGCCTGAGAACCCGGAGGAGCAGGTGTTTTCTTGACTGTTCTCCACAATTGGGCTGAAAGAACCACAGGTGAGTCAACCTCTAGTAGAAGCAATGAATGCTAATTCTTTCTCATCTAACTGAAACTCATTAGCTAAAATAGAGGAAAGGAGCAAACTCTAAATTCAATGGCCTTTTTAAAAAGTTGTTGTTTTTCAACACTATCCCAACAAGTTATTACTGCTTTTTAACAACATAAATAATTTCCAGATATACACCCTCTCTACCTTCCCCCAGTGAAACTTCACTTATAACAAAGAAAACCAGTTAAGCAAAACCAGCTGACAAAGCAGACATATCCTTAGCAGCTAGCCCCTCACCTCTGCAGGGGAAGAGAATGGGGTTTCCCATCCTTTATCTCAGCTAAGTTTACACATCACTCAGCTTTACTTTAGTAGGAATTTCTTTTTACATTATTATAGTTGTTGTGTATGCTGTTTTTCCAATTTTGTTTACTTCACTCTGAATCCATTTACACAAATCTTCCCATTTTTCTCTCAATGCTGCAATCTTAATATCTTAAGGACCAATCCAACTGACTTGCAGCAATACTTAGCCATTGTAACATGACCAGCAAACTTTGAGTTTCTGAAGCATTCAATTGTATTTATAGACCTTGTTGATATTAAATATTACATTGAACTATATATCTACTTGTATTACTTGTAATTGTCCAGACCCCATTTTTTTCTTTTGCCCTTTCTTCTCATTTGTTTTTTCACTTTTAGTAAACTAGGGCAGGAATAGAAGTGAAATTCAAATGATTCAATTTTATTAATACAATGATCCAAGACAATTCCAAAGGACTCAAGATGAAAAATACTATCCACCTCCGGAGAGAGAACTGATGAACTCTGGGTGCAGATTGAAGCATATTGTTTTTTACTGTTTTTCCTTCCTATTTTTGGGCAACATGGCTAATACAGAAATAGGTTTTGCATGACTTCACATATATAATGGGTATCATATTGCTTGCCTTCTCAATGGGTGGGGGAGGGACTGGAGAAAGGGAGGGAATTTGGAACTCAAAATTAGAAGGAAAAAAACAATCTTAAAATAAAAACAATTTGGCTCCCTATACATGAAAATAATTAGGCTTTTGGGATATTCTTCAGATTGTTATTTCTATGGCTGAGGGAAGTGGAATCAGCCCACTGCTCTGGGCTTCCCACTCCATCCCTCAAGAAACAAATTCCTTCCTTCCCATGTTCCTCTTCTCTCCCCATCTTGGCTTAGTTTCCTCAAGGCTAACTGTCATCAATTCCCACTTTGTAGCATCATTCCTATGTCTCCACAGATTCCCTTACTACCACAGTCTGAGCCCAAGCTTAATTATCTCCTCTTACACCTTTATCTGTATTCTAATCAGACCCACTCCTTTCCAGGCCAACTCAACCTGAATCACTAAGCTCCTAACTCCAATCCACTGATCCCTTCACATATATATGTATATACTCTACACTCAACAAACAGCTGAACTTTCCAACTCCCGCTTATTCCATGCCCTTGTTCTCTCTTCAAAGAACACCATATCTCTTGCAAGACTCTTCACTAAAAGTCATTCCTTTTCTAATTCCCCTAATTCTTAAGACTAAGAGGGAGAAGGAGGCAGTCATTGTTCCCCTACTTTCATACTACTATTCTACTAGTTTCTCCTCTTTGAGTCTACTCAATTCATTTTAACCATCTTCTCCCCATCCTTGTAGCTGGCATCTATCAGCTTCCAGGTTACTTTCCAAAATTGTTCTATGACTTATGTACCTCAGTTTTCCCTTCATTCATTTCCTCGAATTATCCTCAGGGACCTCAATTTGAGAGTCTGTTTGAGCTTTGCTCCTTTCCCCATAAAGGGCAATGGGGAGGGAGGGAGACACAGACAGAATGTTAAAATTACTGATGAATCCACAGATATACCCACTAAGCAGGAAAGGATTTCTAACACTCTGGCTTATTCCTGATAAGAATATTTAAAGGCTCCTGGGTTTTCTTACCCTCTATCAGTGGTTCTCAAGTTATGGTCTGTAGATCTCTGGGTGTGCCTGAGACTTCTTGCAGGGGGTTCACAAGGTCAAAGCCATTTTCACAATAATACTAAGATGTTTATCTATTAAAAATATTCCAACTACATATCTGTGAAGCCAGAATTTTTTTCATACACTTCCAACTAAAATAACATCATAACATACTGAAAGCAGCAGATTTGATAATCCAGCTGTCTTCTATTAGGCTGGATATTAAAGAGACTTGCAAAAAATATGTAAAACAATGCTACTCTTCTCATTAACTTTTTTGTTTTGGAAATTAGTTATTTTTTCCGTACAAATATGACATGTTTTCCAAAAATTATATCTTAATTTTAATACAGTAAACATTGACATAGCCACAAAAACAAAAACTTTTTGAGGTGCCCTATAATTTTTAAGAGAGTAAAGGAGTCCTAAACCAAGAAGTTTGAGAATCACTGCCCAGTATGTATTATAAATGGTGTTAATACTTAGCTCAGGGCTTGGCACATAGTGGGCACTTAATATTTATTGACTGATTGGTGTCAGTGCCCTTTGTCTACTCCTGAGTATAAAACCACACGAATTCCTAAAGTTCAGGATACATAGTCATACCATGGTCCTGGCAAAACTAGCTATTTCTTGGTTGGACCTCCGATGTCTCAGAAGGAGGACAAACGGAATCTAAGGGGCTATACTACAAACTAGCATATATATCTTGGCTATATTCTTTGTGGTGACAAATTATAACCAGCTAAGTTTCCTAAGAGGAAAGTTGAGCTGCATCTTTTCTTCCTCAAATCCTGAACTGAAAAGTATACATATTCACATATACATATTCACTCATTTAATAGCCTGTCCAAACAATTGTTCCACCTCCGAAATGCCAATGATTTCATTTTTCTACCTCATTTCAGTCACAAACCTCACCTCTCTATGACTTCAGCTCTGTTTTTAGGTGCTATCTGTCTCCCTTAAAATGTAAACTCCTTGAGGGCCTAGCCTCTTTCCTTTTGCTAGCATATGCATTCCCAGCACCTGTGCTAAGTGCTTAATAAATGTTTGTTAACTTGACTAAGATTCTATGATCTTTCTTGCCGAAGTTCTTAACCTTTTATCTGTCATCGACCTCTTTGACAGTCTGGTAAAGCCTATAAATCCTCTTCTCAGATTTTTTAAAAAACAATTCATAATTCAAGAAAATGCTGAATTTCACTTAGAGGTTTGGAAAAATAAAGATATAATTATTTTACCTACCAAGTTCATAGACCCCAGATTAGGAACCTCTCTTAGAATAGTACCTTTAAGACAAGTTACTTTGAAATAACACTTTCCAACCATAGCTTAGTATCTTCCCACTTTCCCCACTCACTCACATTAAATTTTTTGTCCATGACCATGACCTGTTCCCCCAGACCACCTCTTCCACCTCAGTTTCATCTGTCTCCCTAAATCAGGCTTATGATCTATGACTTCACTATTTCACAACCTAACTACTCTCATGGTGCAGCTTGGTGGCACAGTAGATAGAATGTCAGGAAGCCTCATCTTCCTGAGTTTAAATCCAGCCTCAGGCACTTACTAGCCGTGTGACCCTGGGCAAATCACTCAACCCTGTTTGCCTCAGTTTCCTCATCTACAAAATTAGTTTCCTCATCTACAAAATTTCTTAGAGAAGGAGATGACAAACCACTCCAGTGTCTTTGCCAAGCATACCCCAAATAGGGTCACAAAGAGCTGGACACAACTGAAACAACTGAACAACAATTACTACTCTCACAGAACTTTGTGCTCTCTTGACTTTCACTGTTCCAACTCCTCATACTTGAGTAACCCCTACCACCTTATTTGTCTGCTCCTGTCCCCAATCTGCCAAATATCACTGAATAAAGCCATGAGATCAGTATGATCTCATCTACTATAAATTTATGGTCTACAGCCTCAGCTAGGCCCTGGCTGTAAACTGAATAATCTTTCTACCCTTTCCACTATTGGCTCCCTATTTAATTTTCTATTAAAAAAACTATTTCAAATCTCCTTTTTGCTCTCACAACTTCCCTTTCCTTAACATTTATAGCAGACGACTTAGCTTCCTACTTTACCAAGGAGACTGAAAAATAAAACATGGCCTCCTCGCCAGGACTCCACTTCCTTCCTCAAAACTTCTTGGAGTCATTATTATTCTTTTTTTTTCCTTTCTCCTGATCACAAAAGAAGTATCCTAACTTCTAAAGTCTTCTAAATGTGCCTTCATCCTATTCCCTGCCCATTATGTTCCAGTAATCATCTCCTCCGTCTTTCATACATCTTTGGGGCAAAATGAAGCATGCATTGTCAGAGGGGCATACAAATGTTGGTTTTGCTTAACTATACTTCTCTGTTACAAGGGAGGGTTCTGTTTTGGGGCATGTAGGGATGGTGGTGGATGTCATTAGGAAGCAACAGAAATGTTTTTAAAAATATAAGATCTTAAAAGGCCTGTCTCTGAAATTTACTAGCTGTATGAGTAGCAAGTCACTTAACCTACATAAGCCCGGTATCCTCATCTATAAAACAGAAATAATACCTGAAGTAACCACCTCATACTATCGCTGTAAATATAAAGTGTGAAAATGTATGTGAAGCACTTTTTAAACCTTAAATCATATTTAATCATCAACTATTATTACTGTAATAAACTCATGGACCACATCCTATTGGAAGCCTTACTACTCAATACTGCTGGTTATTAATGACCAATCTCTTACCAAATTATTTTGTATTTATCTGGTACATGTTGTAACCCCCAGCAGAAAGTAAACTCTTAAATTCTGTCTGCATGAGGCGATGAAGGCCTGTACCAGGGTGACAACAGAGTCATAGGAGAGAAGTGGGGGCATATTTCTTTAAGAGAGATGTTGTAAAGGTGAAATTGACAGGTATTGGCAAATGACTGGATATATGGAGTAAGAGATTGGGGAGAATTAAAGATAATACCTAGGTTGTAAAATTAAGGGACTGGGAGGGTATTGT